ATTTCCCTGTGCTATACAGTGTAATCTTGTTTATCTATTCTACAACTTTGAAATCCCAGTCTATCCCTTCCCACCCTCCGCCCCCCAAAATACCCACTTTTTTCTGACGATAGTGAATGAAATATGCTAACCACCTTGGTGGTTTGGGATCAGTTATACTGTGCTGCAGGTGGTGCGTGTAGGTCTTCACCGACCCCTCTGTGGAGCAAACCTGGAACTTCTTTAAAGAAGGAACTCCTTATACTGTTATCTGTCCTTCCATCTACCCACCCAGTTTCCTTTTCATCTTTCTCTTAACAGTGATCTAAGAATGTTTAATTATGTAATTAACCTCCTGAATAGTGTAATAAAGATGCCCATCTATAAAACTAATTAGGGGGGCAAGATGGAAGTAACCCTCTTGAAAGTTGTTTTTTAAAATTGTTATTCTCAGTAAAAGCATAATTCTGTCTTTATTACTTGAGCTTCTCACCATCACTCAAAGCATACTCCATTATCTCAGCTTCAAATTAAGTTCCTTGTTACTTTCAGCCTCTCTGTGTCCCTAGTCTTTAAATTCTTTAAAAATGCAGCAACAATGTCTTTCCTAATTTGTATTTCTTCCCTGGTTCTTTCCTGGGGTGATGTGGGGAAGTCTCCATGAACTGTTCAGCTATTGCTGCCGAAGAGCATGAAGTTCAAGTAGAATTTGAGAACGACAAGCATAAAAGAAATGTAGCTTTATGGTTTGATTCCAGCTTACACTGAGGCTGCAGAGGCAGACGCCAGGTTTCTGAGGGTCAGCTAGTGGAGATTCCGCTGGGTAGTGAGTCTTACTGGACTGGAGTGGCAGCAGGAGGATGGAGCCCTTAAAACCTGCCATGTGTTGTGTGTGTTCTCATTTCCTCCTTGGGGTGAGGGGTTCTTGGCTTTCATTAGGTTCTCAAAAGAACCCATGATCTCAGGGGGGAGAGTATAGCGCAAGTGGTTGAGTCCGTGCTTAGCATGCATGAGGTCCAGAGTTCAGTTCCCAGTACCTCCTCTAAAAATAAGTGGATCCAATTACCCCCCCAAACAGAAACAAAACAAAGAAACAAAAAAGAGCCCGTGATCTGAAAAGGTCATGACCGTTGTTTTAGGAGGTCCTGCCTCTTCACTAACAGACCTTCAATTATTTGTCTCTCAGGTGTAGGGGTGCTATGTTTCACCCAGATTTAATATCAGAAACATTAATTTTATTTGACTTTTAAATCCTAAATTTTAAGAACATGTTTAAGAACATCACACCCTGATTTCTCAAAAATAGCACTGTGACTGTTGTTGTCTCATGTAGCTAAATCTTTGGGAAAATCAGTCCCACTGGTAAGAAAATTGAGCCTACACGGTGCCCAGCACGTAGCTAGTGCTATATTCAAGCCAGTAGAATTTTCAGATCAAAATGGAAGTGAATTGAAATATATTGACAAAAACATTTATAAAAATGACAGTCTCAATGAACTGTTAAAAGTCCTCAATAAGACATTAGCAAATCAAATCAATAATGTACAAAAAGAATTACACACCATGACCAAATGGGATTTATTCTATGTACACAAGGCTGTTTCAATATTTAAAAACCAGTAGTCCACCATATCAACAAGTTAAAGATAAAATCATTTGATCATGTCAGTTAATGCAGAAATAGCATTTGATGAAGTCTAACACCTATTCACGATAAAAACTCCAGCAAGTTAAGAATAGGAGGGGAACTCTCAAAACCTGATAAAGAACATTTATAAAAACCCTACTTAATAGACATACTTAATGGTGAAAAAAGATTGGGAAGTTGTGGAAACCATTAAAGAATTATTGTTTAAGAGCGATTAGTGGTTTTAAGTTTTTTCTTTCATAGTAATAGAATTCACGATGAAACATCACAGAGAGATTATTGAGTTAAAGTATTTGATGTACCAAAACTATTAGGTAAATATGAATCCTGGCTGGGTATTTGATGGTATTAAATCATTATTGTGAATTTTTAGGTGATAATGCCATTATGGTTAGTTTCAAAAAGAGTCATCTTTTAGGATGCATGTTGAAATATTGAGCAGTGAAGTTATATGATGTCTGAGAGTTGTTTCAAAATATTTGAAATTAGCAGGAGAAGTAGGAGCGTGTATATCAAACAAGATTGGCCTTGTGTTGATAACTGTGGTGGTTGAATCATGGATACATGGGGTTCATTATTCTGTTTTGTCTACTTTTGTATCATGCATAATAGAAAAAAACAAAATTACATGATATAAAATTTGTTTGGTCATACCCATTAGGTGGCTTCTATAAAAAACAAGAAAGTAACAAGTGTTGGTGAGGGTGTGAAGAAATTGGAACCCTTTGCACTGTTGGTGGGAATGTAAAGTGGTGCAGCCACTATGGAAAACAATATGGCATTCCTCAAAAAATTAAAAATAGGATTACTGTATGATCCAACCAAAAGAATTGAAAGCAGGGTCCTGAGAAAATATTTGTATACCCATGTTTGTGACAGCATTTTCACAATAGCCAAAAGATGGCAGCCACCCATGTCCATTGATGGATGAATGGATAAACAAAGTGTGGTCTATACATACAGTGGAATATTATTCAGCCCTAAAAAGGAAGGAAATTCTGATACATGCTGTAACATCAGTCACCCTTGAGGACGTTATGCTAATTGAAACAAACCAGTCATAACAGGACAAATATCTGCTTATCCAAGGTACCTAGAGTAGTCAAATTCAAAAGAGACAGGAAGTAGGCTGGTAGTTACTGGGAGCTGGAGTGAGGGGGAGTGGAGAATCACTGTTTCATGGGGACAGACAGAGCTCCAGTTTTGCAGGATGAAAAGAATTCTGGAGATGAATGTACTTAATCCTATTGAATGAAATACTTAAAAATGGTTAAGGTGGTAAAATTTATATTGTGTGTTTTACAACAATTTAAAAAAACTTGTTTGGAATTCGGAAGAATAATTAAAAGGGGGCCCCTTTAAGCTTGGAAAAGTTAGAATTATAAAAAGTGTGATCTTGCTCCCTAAGAATTCCTTTGCAGAATGTGCTTAAAATTAATATTTTAATCATAACATAAGCTCTGTGAGGGCAGTAAGCATTCCAATCACCGTTGTTTCCTCAGCACTTAGAAGACTACCTGGGGCTCAGTAAAAATGGATTGATGAATGGATGAATGATGGATGATGGATGGATGATAGATGATGGATGATGGATGGATGGATGGATGATGGATAGAAAGAAGGAAAAGGAAAGAAGCCCCTTTCCCTGGATTCTCCCCAGCCCTGACGTCCCTCCTGAACTCTCAGTCCAGGATAGGAGCAGCTGTCCCATCAGCTGTGTGCTGTGGAGGCCCAGATACTAAACCAGAGTCTTGGGTCCACCGGCTACCATTTCTCGTCTTGTCCCTGCAGCCAAGGTCTTTGACGGACTTCCTGGATTCCGTCCTTGCCCCTTCCTGTCCCTTCTGCCCTGAGGCAGGAGGTCTCTCCCTGTTCCCCTCTGCATGGCCTCTGCCCTCCACACTTTGAACTTGGGAGAAGGGCATCAAGTCTTCTCCCCTTCTGCTCTTACTCTCTGGTCTCACCTCAGGACACGTCCTGTCCCTGCCACGTGGAGCCAGGGTAGCTCTTCGGTCTCGCGAGCTTGACTGATGATGAGCCCACCACGCGGCGCAGGGCCGCCCTCACCCAGACATTCCCCACAGGCCCACCTTCTCCCCACTTACCGGACAGCCCCGCTTCACCCGGAGGGCTGCACGTTCGCTGTAGGTGAAGTGTGTGTCCAGTGAAAAGTGAACAAACACGAGAAACGTTTCACTGAACCATTAGTTGTTTAAATGTTAAATTTACTTGCAATTGTGATGAGGCCTTTCAACCTGCTTACTTACAGAATTTGTCTAGAGAGCAATTGCTCGTTTGCTTACTTTAAGGATTTATTTTACACTGAAATGTGATTTTAAAGGTGAACTTCTTGTTGATGTAATACACACATTGTAAAGCTGGCTGTTTTTGAAGTCTACAAATGCTTTTACTGTGGAAAACCTTGGTTTTCCTTAAGGAGGTGGATCCAAGTCAGTGGCTCTCGGGAGCCGGGCAGGGTGTCGGCCCGGCCGAGTCTTGGCCGTGTCTGGAGACATTTTTGGTTGTCACAGCAGGGGAGGTGCTCCTGGCATCTAGTGGATGGAGGCCAGGGACGCTGCCAAACATCCTACAGTGACGGGACGGGCCCCTCAGCTAGACATTACCTGGCTCAGAATGTCAGTAGCGCCGAGGTTGAGAAACCCAGATCTAAACAACGGCTAATACATAGAGTTTTTTTTTTTTTTTAACATTGTAACATTAAATTTATTTGGGATTGTGATGAAGAGGCCTTTAAACCTGCTTACAGGATTTGTCTAGAGATTCTTTGGAAGTGTTCAGTTTTAGAAAAAAAAACAAGAGTAATTAAGAAATGTATTTTACAAAGTCAGAGGAAACTAATGCTGCATTAGCCAAAACCGTTACCAGCTGTAACTTCGGCTGAAAAGGAGGACTATTGTTTATAAATTTCATGCAGTGTTACTTTGGTTGATTAGAAAGTTTCCTCTTTTGGTTAAAAAAAAAAACAGGTTTTTGTTGGTTTGTTTGCTTTTTGGTTTACACTTAGCAATGTTGCTCTGTGTAATACTACATCTCTCTCTTTTGCTGAATAAAGGGGATATAATTAGGCCTCTACAGGGTCTGAGGCTGTAGGGAGTTCCTTTTGCTGTAGGTTGTATTCAGGAAGATGATGATACGGAGGTTGTCATGGGAACACCTCCTGAGCCTCCTAGGCCCTGGTCTCTGCCCTCCCAGGCTCTGGTCTCTGCCCTCCCAGTTTTTTCTAAAACGTAGTTCTTGCTTACGATTCATTTAACAACAGGTGTTTGTGGAACGCCTGTGTTGGAGGCAGAGTGGGCCCTTCAGTTACGTCATTTATAATCCTCAAAGCAAGATTGTGGAAGGTGGTCTCATTCTCCACTACGATGCAGAAATAGGCACAGTGATTAAATAATCTGCCCCTTGTTACAGAGCGAGTGAGAAACAATTCATTTATTAACTAAGTTCTGTCTGATACAAAGTTCCTGCCTTTCCCACCAGACCACTCTTTGTTTATAGCTTTTAACAGCATCTTGCTGTCTGAAGAATTGAGAGAGCTCATCCGTGTAGCAGAGGGGTGCTCACCACGATACCCCAAATCGCAGGCCAGCCCCTCTCCAGTTGCACCTCCTGATGCTCTTGTCTTGCTAGTCCCAGGTTGAGCCATGTATTTTTCTACCTTTATACCTTATATGTATTTTTATTCTGTTTTAAATACTCCCGCACACCCAAGAAACCTCAGTTATCCTTTTAGGGAGATCCCTGGGAGGTCTCCTTGTGGACTTCTGGTGGTCCCTAGAGTTGATCTCAGGTATTTCCAGCCCCCTCTTCCAGCACACAGTACAGTTGCACTTCCCCACCCCATGCATTTGGGTGAGGGCATGTGACCAGTTCTGGTCCTGACTTAGGAGCAGAAGTGACTTGTGACCCTTCTGAGTGCGAGGGTCAGCTCCCACCAGGAGACCCTCCAGAGCGCTCTTTCCCTCTGGGAAGAGGCGGGGCCAGATTTGAGATCTTGGCTCCTTGGTCATCTTGGTCCCTGCTGCCTGATGAATTTCCCAGCACAGCATGAGTTGTTCACACCTCATCACCCTTTGGTTATAGCACCTTCATTTAGAATGTAGTGGTCGTTGACATGTTCATGTCCCCTAAAAGATTGTGACTTGATTCCCCAGGAGCCCAGCACCTGCGCCATGGTAGGTGTTTAAGGAAGATCCCTGGGAACAAACCCCAGCTCAGCGGTGGTGTAATGCTGAAAGGACCTTTGATGTTAAGATGCTTTGAAGGATCAGGGATGGTCTGATCTAAATATGAATTTATGACCCAGAGAGTCTGAGAGAATATTTGTCTCTTTATTTTTTTATATTGAGACTATGAATATTTTGCTTATGCTAAACTTTTCTAGAAAATAATCTGCTGGGGATTTTATACTCATATAGTTTAAGACACTTTTTCATGCCTATCATCTTTAACAAAGGGCCTGTTAACTCAGACTACGTTCCCCTCCTTTGGTAAATAAAGAGCTGGATTTTGTAATCAAAGCCTGTTAATTGGCGGCATGGACTCGGTGGCACCTCTCGCCACCTAGTGGCAACATCCCTCTATTGCAGATTCTTTTGATGGACCAAGGTTAAACATTGAATCTGCAGACAAAACAGGTAACATCGTCTAGGATTTACCTGTAAGCTCCTAAAAGTAAGTCACCTGTCATTATTTATTATGATGTCAGTATTGGCCCAGTGTGACCAAGCTAAGTAAGTATTCTGGAATGAGAAGGAGGCACATATCAAATTCTCTTGAAACAGTGGATTTCTCTTTATAACTGAATAAATCAGAAGGGAGTGGTTTGTGGTGCCCAGCTGAAGTCAAGGCCGTCGCACACAGGCTTTGGAACCACCTTGCCTGGGTCTGTGACTTGTGGGACCTGGACAAGGGGTCGTCCTCTCTTTAGGCCAGAGAGTTGGGACGTACTCGGGGGCATAAGTTTTATATTCCAAGTTTACCTTGACATTGACGATTGTATTCTTTTCATTTTGATTTTTAAACTGGTGGCAATTCCTAATGATTAAAATCTACCACAACCACGAAAACTAGCCGTGTCCTGAAACAGTAGGCGTGTACCCAGATACGGCCCACACTTACAGAAGGTCTGATCTCTAGCATTGCTATTCTGCAGTTTTGTTTAGTGCTGTGCTATTCAGAATTTGCATGGCTTTTTTATGGCTTAGAATGTAATGAAATGTATCAGGTAGACTCTGAATATGGTGACCTGCTCCTAGACTTATGGCCAGTAGTCTCATGTCTTTATTTGTGATTTTTGGAGGATGATGACAGAAACATCAATCACTTGTTTCCATAAATATTTTATAATGCCAATTGAAGGTGATGAAATATTAAAAATATCATTTATTAAATATTTAAAAGCTCAGTCTTTGGAACTGGCCACATCTCTTCATTCTACTGCCAGCTTAAGGAGCAATTTAGAAATTTTGAATTATAAAGTTAGAATAGTGGGGAAAAAAATGAAAGAGCTGGGATGATAGCTACGTAGTAATTATTCCCCTTGAACCATCAGCTGTTTTCAGCGGCAGGCCTTTCCGTTAGGGCGGGCAGAAGTCCATCGGGTTTTCTGCAGTTTGCTTTGCCGAGTATTTTTACTTCCCTAGCAGCTTAAATAAATCCATTTAGTTTAAGTCTCGGAAGTTTATGGACTCACATATGGGAGTAGTGTTCTTCAGTTTTATTTGCTGTGCTTCTAGTTTTATTAATAAAATCTTAAATATGAAAACAAATTAGAATTGAGTATGGCTATTACTAATACGCCATCAGGAGTGAATTGAACTAACGGCCTTTGTGTTTTAAAATGAGAGATTAGCGACGAACAGCGGAGGTTTTGGAGTCCTTTCTTTAAAATGGCCTGTCTTCCTGTATTAGGCCTGTAGCTCCAGGCAGTGTT